CTTATAATATTATTAATAATTTGAATAATAAATTAAACACAAAATAAATTTTATATGCTATTTCTACAAAATTCCAAAAAAAAGTCTTTAGGTTTATCTACTTTTTCAAGTGATATGTCTGCTTATCTAAATGCTTTTACTAAAGCAGTATTAATAACTTTATATTTATTTAACCCATTATTATTGATATTAAAGGTAATTTGACAAAGTCTAATTTTATTTTCAGCTTTATATACATTTTTTTTATATTTGTCTAACTTTAAATATAAATCTAATATGGATTTTTTTTATGGTCTAAAATATTTTGGCAAAATTTACAAAACAGTTTTTGATCATCAACATAAATTATTTATATTTTGAGCTTTTGAGTCTACACTTAGTTACTAAAATCATTATAAAAAAAATAAAAGATCAGAAATAATCAATTGATTATCTCAATTTATAATCTTAATCTATAGATCTTAATAGTAAATATGCTAATGATAAGTGAAAATATGAAATTTAATAAATCTGCGGCAGTATATACTATATACTAATGCAAATATCTTAATTTTTACATATAATATACTGTCACAGAATATGAGTTACTCTACTGTGTATTAGTATGTTACATAATACAATTATCATATATCACTACATATAGTATTCTCAGTCTTAATCAAAAATTAAATAAGCTCAAATAGTATTCTTAAGGATACTGTATAAGGGTAAAGTATTATACTAGAAGGTATTAATTTATAGTATAATTAGATAATCTACTATAAGATTAAAAAAATAAAAATAAAATAAAAATAAAAATAAAACCTTTTTTTTAGCATTTCAAGTTTTAAAACTTTAAAATAAATAATTATTTTTTAAAAAATGACTTTAATACTTTATTTTAGTATTCAAATATGCTTTTTAATAATATTTTTAATATTAAATAATAAATATTATTAAATTAACAAAAGCTAATATTAAATCTATCATTTTAAATAATTCTTTTTCATTTGTTTTCTAAAAGGATTATTATTAAATTTTTTATTAAATAGTATATGCAAATTTTTATTCATAAATTTTTTACATCTTATTTTTATAACTTTATAATAAAAGAACAAATCGTACAAATATAACAGAAAAGGTACAAAGACAATAGAATGTATGTAAAAAGTAGTAGTTATTTATATAAAAATAAGCATATTAAAAATAAGACTGTAAGCTAGGGTTCCGCAATTCGATTTGATATTTGAATATTTGATTTGATTCAATTAAATTCAAATCAAAGAATGATTTATTTAATCAAATCCAAATTAATGTTTGATTCGATTCGACCAATTCAAATCAAGTATTCAAATATTTTATTTGATTTGAATCAATAGTAAAGTTATCTCCAAAGCTTTAGGAGTGGTCCTTTACTAAGAAACCCATAGTAAAAAGTGCCTCCGCAGCTTTGAAAATGCCTTTTTTATTAAGAAAACTATGACAAAAAGTGCCTCTGCAGCTTCGAAAATGCCTTTTTATTAAGAAAACTATAGTAAAAAGCATCTCTGCGGCTTTGAAAATGCCTTTTTACTAAGAAACCATAGTAAAAAGTACCTCTGCAGCTTCTGAAATGCCTTTTTTACTAAGAAAAACATAGTAAAAAATGCTTTTGTGATTTCGGAGACATTGTTTTACTAAGAAACCTAGTAAAAAACTGTATCTACAGCTTTGGAAATATTTTTTACTTATGAAGCTGAGATGGCGATTATTACTAAATGTTTTAGTAAAACCGAAGCTGTGATGGCGGTTATTACTAAGTTTTCTTAATAAAACTGAAGCTGCGATAGCGGTTATTACTAAGTTTTCTTAGTAAAACTGAAGCCACAATAGTGGTTATTACTAAGTTTTCTTAGTAAAACCGAAGCTGGGATGATGGTTATTACTAAGTTTTCTTAGTAAACTAATGGCACGATTGCAGTTATTACTAAGTTTTCTTAATAAACTGAAATCGCAATGGCAGTTTTTTCTTAGTAAAACTGAAACTGCAGAATTATTTTACTAAGTTTAATAGTAAAAATTCACCTGTTACTAAACTTACTTTGTAAAAGCTATCTTGTAAATTTTTTAGTGCAATTACTAATAATTTTCTTAATTAAAACTTTAAAATAACTTTATTTTAATATATTATTGTAAAAATCAAAAAAAAATTTATATTCGATTGGATTCGATTCGATCAAATATTTGATTTGATTTGATTTGACAAATATTTGATTCAATTTGATTTGATTTGATCAAATTCAAATCGATTCAAATTGATTCGATCAAATATTTGAGTTTAATTTGATTCGATTTGATTCGATTTGAAAAAATCAAATCAAATTCAAATTGCTTAAATATTTGATTTGATTCAATTTTGAGGAATCCTAACTGCAGCTAAATTTAATATTGAAATAAAGTAACTTCAAAATTGGATATCTAAAAAATCACAACTTTTAAAGTTTCAAATCATTTAAATAAAGATTCACTTCTAAAATATCCTGCTTTAGAAACTATTTTAGTTGAATAAATAAAAGAAAGAAGAAATAATAAATAAACAGTTTTACAAAGTATGATACAAATGAAAAGTAAAGTATTTGTATAATAAAGTCAATGGTAATCCATATATTCTAATATTAATCTTTTGCTTTTAGCAATAAGTGGGTAGATAGTTTAATGAATTGCAATAATCTGAGTAATTATATTATATTACTATTGCATAATATTTATCAGATAATTTAAATAAAAAGCAGCAGAAATTTTTAGCATTTATTAATATAGATGCATTCAGTATGAATATTCCTTAACATTAATTGGTAATATGAATGAAACTCCAATGATATTTGATCTGCTAAACAATACTAATGAAACAGGAATATGATCTATTAGTATTTGTATAATAAGACATAAAAAATCAAATTTTACAATATATTAACTTATATAACTAATAGAACTAAACTTTCTCTTTTTGTAATTTTCTAAATTAAAAAAAGTTATGTAAGGTAATATTTCACAAGAAGTTATTATTTGAGCTAAACCAACTAGATGAATGAATAAAAATGAAATACTTTATTTATTAGATTGAACATATTTAGATTAAGAATGCAAGATTTTAAATTTACAATCATTACTAATTTTGAACTTATTTTCTGCACATCTTGTTAATTCTGTAAAAAGATATTTTAGTAAAAAAAAATACTAATATTACTGTTATTTCTGAAAGATTAATATTTTACCTCCAGTCTTTAGGTGTTTTAGTAAATAATCATTTTAAAAAAGATAAGAAACTTATTATATATTGATTTTTAAAAAATAAATTTAATAATCATTTATTTTTTTTCTTATTTTATAGATGCAATGAAATTACAGTGAACTCTTGATATAACGAATTTTAGGATCTGGATATCAACTTCTTTATAAGCTTATAACAAATTTTTTAAAGAATTTAATTGACTAATTCACTATAGTAAGGTAATTTTAATATATTTGATTTAAAAATTTGCTATATCAAAGATTCGTTATATTAAGGTTTGACTGATATAACAATTTTATAACTGATGCTGTTAAAGAATTAATACTGCTAGTAATATCAAAAGACCTTTATATGAAACTATAGTAAATTGAATTAATAATTCATGGAATATTGTTAATGTTAATTTAATTCAAAAATCTTTTAAATGTTATAGCATCTCTAAAAAATGTGATGGAACTAATGATGAATTAATCTTTGATTATAATCATCTTGGACAATCAGGTCAATTAAATAATAGGATAGAAATAGATAATGCAAATCAAAAAGTAAATATTGAAGGAAATGTGATGATTATTATGATAAACAAGAAATAAATCATACTAATGTATGAGATGATTAGTAATTTTAATTTTAATTAAATAATGTAATTGAAATTTTTTTATAAGCATTCAATAAATATAATAAATAAATATTTTGATTAATACTAGGATACTTTTCAAAAAAATTAGCTTTGCAATTGAATAATATATTTCGATACTAATTAAGAAAGATATTTTTTTCAGGAAATATTGAATGAAGTGCAATACAGTAATAATAAATATTGAAATTCTTATCTTCTCAATTTCAAAATTATAGAATCTAGTTTCATTAATAATAAAGATATTATTTATGAGGAAGACCTTATTTCATAGGTATATAACCAGGATTAGTAAAAGCGGGATACTACCATAATATAATTTATATTATATGGTGATATCCTGCTGTAAAGTCTTAAAAAGTCCTAATTGGTCTTTATAAATTTAAAGATAAATTTTATACTATTAATTAAATTTTTTAATAATAAATTTATCTTTTTAATTATTATATTAATAAATTTTTTTATTAATTTAAAATAAAAAATTCTTTAAAAATTAGAAATATACTTAATTTAGGACCTGGTCCTAGAACCTAGGTTCTAAATCTAATATTTTAAATATTTTTAAAATTAATCAAGACTTTTTAGGACTTTTCCAACCCTATACATAGCTCAATATTTTATATAAATATTATTACAATATAAATTAGACAATAAAAATTATTATATTATTATATAGTCAAATTCGTCTGATACGAAATATATATTTAAATATCAATAAAAAAAGCTAGTTTTAATAGGAACGCGAGGGAACGAGAAGTAAAGTAATTAACAAATCTTGAGAAAGAAAATGAATTGGAATTTACTGTAAATTAGTTAAAATATAGTTATTTATTATATATCAAAATTTTATTAAGTAAAAAGATTGCGCCTATAAAATAAATTTATTCTGATCGTTTAGTTTTATTTTTACAAAATACTTATTTTAAGTTTTTACATACGTATGGCAAAATTTATACACTACATTCAATAAACGCTTTTAGCATTATACATTCGTCTTACCAGTGATCGTGGAAAGTTTTAATTGGTTAAAATATAAAATAACAAATAATAAGCTGAAGCAATGAGAAAAAAAAAGGTGAAGTGAAAAATTTTTTTTTCACCACTTAATAAAAGATGCGATCGTTTTACAGGCTTTTGGCATTTATGGTGCTGACTACCTGTCTAGCATATAGAACGTTAGCAACTAACGTTACCTTTGTTCCTCAACATTGGAGGAACACTAATATGCTTCGAACGATAGACCTTACAAGTTCTATTGTTCGAGAAACCACTTCGGTTGCTGCTCAAAACATTCATAATGAGTCGATAGGTGAATATTATTATCCAATACCAGAACAATGGGATAATCACTTGTCTTATATTGAGGTGAATGAAAGAAAGACGAAACAGACTTTTGAAGTTGAAAAAGTGAAACTTAATCCTCTCAAGTGGGTACCTTATTCTAATCAATTTTCACGACCGATTGATGATATGTTTGTTATGCAAATGAATGAAAAAAATGAAATAATATGCGGAAAATCAAAGAAATTTAAGTGGCCTTTATTACTTTCAAATGATACTATTTCAACGTGCAGCCGGATCCGATATTATAAGATATTTTTCAACCGTCGACTCGATCCACAAGAACAGATTAAATTCACCATAACAACAGTTTTTACCCACATGTTAACTCCCTACCCCAAAGAAATTACTCAAACGGGAAGGCAACAAATATTATTTCATGGTAACCAATATGGTAACAGTGCTTATCAAACCGATCAGCAAAAAACCAATGTCAAGTAAGTTTATAATTTTTCGCATCATGTCCCAAATTACTTATTGAATGACCAAAAAAAAATAATTCATCTATAGACTCCCTTCAGTTGAAATAATTAGTTACAGTCAGCCGACGGGCAACGTGATTCGTAATCAAAAAAATCTCGATTATGGAAGGTTTAACGGGACTAAGCCGAACTCTTACGAAGAACTCAGGATTCATTATGGATTCCAACAAAATATGTTAACCGTTACGGGCTTAAGGCGTGATTTGGAAATCAGTCATTGGGGTGGAAATCTCGCGGTCGAAGAACATTTCAACCTAACTCATGACGGAGCAAGGTAACTTGAGCTTATGAAAAGTTAATGTGAAAATTTCACCTTTTTTAAACATTTTTTAAATCTTAAAAGGTTAAAAGGACAATTTTCGCGACTCGATTATCATAAAACCATTTATATTCATCACGATACTATCATGGCACGCGAATTATCGTTGAGTTTACCTGTTCACGTATCCGATGTGTATTATCGAGACGAGATAGGCAATGTATCAACATCAAATTTACGATACGAACGGGATAAAACGATTTTTGATTTTAAGCCAAGATATCCTTTATTCGGTGGATGGAATTACACATGGTATCACGGATATAATGTGCCACTTGGAGATTTTGTGAGATACCATTATGAAAGTAATCGATATATTCTGAACATCCCTTTTGTAAACGCGTTTCCTCAAGCGATTCATGATAAAGTACAAGTGAGAATCATCTTGCCAGAAGGTGCCAGGTAAGGAAAATCAAGATCATTATCGTTATCATCATGTCTTCTCGATTTCACGAGTCCAAATCATTTTTTTTTTTTAGTGATGTAAAGGTAGAAACACCATTCGTCATTGATAAAGAAACACATGGAGTTCATAAAACCTATTTGGATACAATAGGACGATACCTTATCGTCCTTGAAAAATCTAATGTGGTTAATGAACATTCAAAAAACATTCAGATTTCTTATACATATAGTTCATTAGAATTATTAAGAAAACCTTTATCGGTTTCAATTTTCCTTTTAGGACCATTTCTTTTAAGTATGGTCTATTCAAGAATGGAATTCAGTATCGGAAAATCCAAGAGAAAAACTAGTTAAAAATCAATAAACAATTAAATCGTAAAAATTTTTATTTATATAGTAAAAAAAAATATATATATATATATAATATATATAAACCAATTAAACTGAATTAGTCATAATGAATGATGATCCTATTGTGGCGTTCGGAATTTTTTCTGGCAAATTAGCAAATTGCAAGCGAATTCTCTGCAAAGCAGCTGTAATTGACAGGTTCTTATAAAGAATACTTAAAAGGAATTATTGTACTAACAAAGAAAGACAAAGAAAGACAAGTTTTTTTTTATACATATCTATATTGTTAAAACGAATTGGGGAAAGCCTTTAAGTATGCATGTATTGTTGTTACACCAATTAAATTCCAACAGATGTTGAAAAATTTTACGACAGAAGTTCAACCCTTTTTTTTTCTTGATCATTCGCTCGCGGCCAATTGCATCATAGTACTTAGAAATGCGAAATTATGTAATGGCTAAATGAAACTGGATTTAATCGTAGTAATAAATCTCCGTCTTTCAATTAGAACAATTAAAAATGGGTAGAGCCAGGTTACTTTTACAAGGGTAAGTTTCACAATAACGCGATCGGTTAAATCTACATGATTTTGTTCTATGGCGATTAAAAACTTTCTCAGGCTCCTTGAACGAAATAAAGTCTTGTATTGAAGAACGAATCAAAAATAGGGATTCGATGTACTGTAAGATTGAGAGATATATCAATCTAAATTAGAATCACGCGTTTTTATTTCTTGGACAGTGATTCCTTAATATGAAACACAGTTAAACAAGGTTATGAACATGCTTCCTTTTCATTTACTAATAAAAAAAAATTTAAGATAACAAAAACTACATATTTTTTTTTTAAAAAAAAAAGCCTGAATTTCTTTGTGAAATTTCCTATTAATGATACCGAATATTGCAAAGATCATCAAATGAAATCCATTTCGTGAAATTAAAATTTGGTGAAAAGAAAAAATATTTTTTTTTAATAAGGTTATTGATTGATCTGAAAAGAAAAAGACTCAAGAAAATAAAAAAAAAATAAAAAAATAAAAAATTTGTATTGTTTTGTTTTATTTATTTTTCGTATTACATTTGTCTGACATTAATATTTGATTTTACAAGATTTAACTCGAATTTAAATATATACTTTTTATGACATGGATGACCTAAAAAAAGTCTCAAGTTTAGTGATCGATATTAAGCTTATTATAGATAAGTTTTGATTCACCCGCGTGCTACCCAGCTGCCTTCTGCTCCTTGCATTTCGTGTAAAGAAATTTTTGAAAGTAAAAGTTTATATTTCAAATTGATCGGTTTAGATTGTCTAGATTTAGTTTCAATCAATTTACCATTATAAGCAAATGACTAGAAGTTTTATAAACATTCCGATAACAAATTATAACAATTGAAATAATGCCTGCTGTAAAACAATCCAACTTTGAGAGATTGTCAATTGATCTTGCCTAAAATCAATATTCGAAAATTTCCCGGGTACCCCTAGTGATATTATTTATTTTATTTTTTATTTATTTACTACCACCCACTTTACCAATTTTTCGTTCCAAATGTATAAAACCATACGTAAACAAAAATTTCATGATATTTTTTTGTTATCTATTTAAGCCCGATGTTATTATTTATTATTCAACTGGTTTATTATCGTGAAATTTTTTTTTTTTCGAAATAATTTGGTCCAAAAATCATCAGTTAACGGTTAGTTTGGTTGTTTTCATCATAATACCTTTTTTTCCCCATTTTATTCTTTTTTTTTTCAAAAAAAAAAAAAAAGGGATTGTAAACATAAACAACGGCCGTGGGAGGTTCGTGGGTCGAGACTTTTTTATTTTTTCTCTCGGCTAATTTACACATCATTTGAACGCAGACGGTTCTCGATTTTCGTTGGGGCTTTGGAGCGCAGATTTATGATGAAAAAAAAGAATGAAAGATATATATTTGTATAATAAAGGATATTAATAAACTTTTTTTTGATTTCAAAAATGATGATTTTAACTTTATGGAAATAACAATGAAAATTGATGAATTATACGGATTTCATGTGTCCATACTGATGCTTTCCACCTGATTCTTTACTCTTTCTTTCCCAATTATAATTAAATCGCACGAGTTTGGCGTTGTTTTAATGTTTCTCTCCTTTTCGTCAATAGTGTGGAAATTTAACTTTTGGGATTAGGTCTCTTTATTTCCATTTTATGAAAGAAAAAATCTCTGAAAAATAACTTAATTGTTCGTTTTTTTTTGATGAATGCGCAAAGGGAAAATTTTTTTTTTTTTCCAAGATTAATCATATGGGTGAAATGAAAAATCGGGTGATTTGAAGGAAAATCATGCTAGAAAGGTTACGCGTGAAAAAAAAAGTTGTTCCAACTAACGAAAAGTTTTTTTTTTTGATGCTGAAAAAAGATTTAGGAATTACTTAACGTTTATACGTTACACACGCAACGCATCTGAATGCAAGCATATCGCGTTCTTGAGTTAGTTTTGCTAACATAAAAAAAAATTTTTCTTTGTCAAAAAAACTTCCCAGTAAATTCCTAAACTTTAATTCCAATCCGAATTTTTTTTTTTTCCCTGTAAAATTTATATAAAAGGGAAAAAATGGGAAAAAAAAAAAAAAAGAGGTATATCTTGATTAATTAGAAACCTCTTTTTACCATTTCTCCCGGTACAAATTACTTATAACTAGATACCGCCCTTTAACAGAGCAAGTCAGTTTCTCTTTTGTCCCAAAGAAAATATTAGAAACTGAAATAAACCAAGAGGCGAAAAAAAAAAGACAAATATGTCACGAGCAGCCGAATATGCACAGTTTCCCTATACTCCTCCGAAAACCCATCTTACATCTGCCCAACAGTCTATGCACCACCAATATACTCAACAACAACCAAATCAGTTCACGAGTTCTCAGGACGGTTTGCTCACTCAACCACCACCTTCAGTAACAACGAATCCACAATATACGACCTCTCATGCCTCAATTGTACCGCCTAATTTAGGTACTCAGCAAACACGACGTTACAAAACTCAACAACATAACTCCATATCACCACCTACTCCAAATACCCCTAATCGACAGTATTCTCAAAATTCTCTCGTTCAAGCAACATTGGAGCACCCTCCCTCCCCATTAAGCTCAAATCAATGTTTACCCACTACTAATAATGTTACCATTCCCTCGACTTTACCCGCGTCTTTACCTACCCCTCCAACTACCCTCCCAGGTTTATCAAGTCCAAATTCAGGGAATTCCCCGGCTTCTAATTTTGATTTGCAGGATGTTCTCGCGCAATTTGGTAATCAACCTGAACTACTTAAACTCATTCTTCAATCAAAGGTAGAGGAAGACAAGCGTAAAGCTGAGGAAGCAAAATTGCGCGTCAGAGAACTTGATTTATTGTTATTGGATCGTGATAGGCAGAAAAAGGGTTTAGAACACGCTCATGATGTTGATGAATCAAAGAATGATGAGATTCATTCTAATCAAGATATGGATTTCGATCATGGTGAAGATTTTAATTTTTTTCCTTCCGTCATCACATTTTCGATCACGAATGATGAAAAGGTTTCACATGTGTTCAATTTATTCATTCCCCCTTTTATTTTAGACAACTCGATCGGACCGTAAGTTCTCTCCTAATCATTATCATCATTATCATTAAAACTGGTTATGATTGACACACACACACTTTATTTTTAATCTTAAAATTTATGTACAACATTTATTTATCCTTTTAAGGTTCTCCACATCTGACGGATCATTAAGTTACGCGTCTTTTGGTGCTAGTTTATCTTCTCCCGTACAAAATCTCTCCCTCAATTCTCCGAGTACTCCCGTATCTCAATCAACGCCTCGACTTAAACCAGCACCGCGAATCAATTCGACACCAAAAGGTCAGTCGGCGCCACAATTCCCATTGCATGATCGTTTTGCGCCACATAACAATCAACTGACGTCTCAAAATCAAATGCTCTCTCATAATCAAGCAATCCAAAATGACCAGGAGGTTATTCTTGGATCAGCAGAAAACGAAGAAAGCAACGCCAATAATATAACGAACAAACGTAAACGCAAACGTCGCGAAATGCTTCCTGTGACGATGATCATCGAAACCAAAGAATATCCTTACGTGGATGACTATTTATGGAAGAACAATGGAAATACCACCCAAAGAAAAACTGGAAACAAGAGCGTTTATTTTAAATGCTCAAATAGCAACAAGGGATGTCCAGTTAATAAGACGGTCACTGAAAAGGAAGGTGGATGGATCATTAAATATCGTGGTCATCATTTGGATGAATGCGGTAAGATTAAACGCATCGTGCAATCTTAATCAATATTCTCCGTTGGAAATCACCATCTGGTGTCGTCGTATGATCTAATCGTCACAACTTAATTCGCATATTATATTATATATTTATATATATATATATATATTTTAAAAAAAATTTCGGCTTTTCTTTTCATTTTTTTTTTACCTTCCAATGTACATTCCACTTCGTTTTACCTTTTCATTTTCCCTTTTTTCTCTTTCTTTGTAAATTTCTTTATTTTAATCCCCCCTTTTTTAACTTTGACGAGATTTTCTTTTTGTTTTATGTTATGGAGTATTCAATCGAACACTGGAGATGGCCATGATTTGTAAGATAAAAATAACGAAAATTTTGAAACTTTCAATTTTTTTTTTTTTTTTTTTTTTTTTTTTTGTTCCAAGGAATCTATCTCATTTAACGAAATTATGACAAATTTAATTGGAACAAAAAAAAAAATTTCCATAAAAAAAAAAAAAAGAAAAAAATCCGACTTCAAAAAAAAAAAAAAAAACAATACTTAATGGCCACGAGGATGTTTAATAAGCAAACGTTTAAGCTCTTAAAGCAAGAGAAGAAACAAAAAAAATAATTTGTTTCTTTTTATTATGGGACAATAACTATTCTAGTACTATAAAGAACTTTGGTTGGTTAGTTTATTTTCTTTTTAACTCTCTTTTAACAACCTCAAAATTCTTTTGAAGTAATACGATCGATTCTTAGAAAGCGCGAAAATATTTTAAGAATTCTTTTTATTATACCTTCCTCAAAAAAAGACACAGTCTTTTTAACTTTCTTTTATTCCTTCTACACCCTTATTTTCGAAAATTTGACGCGTCAAAATGAAAAATGACAATTGAATTTGATTTATACAACTCTAAAAAAATTATACATTAAAAAGGATAAAGACTATATTTGTTTGGAACTCAAAAAAAAATTTAATCGATACTTTTTTTAATTGATTTATTGTGGTTAAAATGAAAACAGGAGACTAGATTTTATTCCCCAACTAAAAAAAATTTAATAATAATGTGATATGGTCATACAAAGTAACGCCCTTGGATACAAAGAATCTTTATTGATGTAAAAAAAGTAACCTTTGGACTTGAAATGTCGTGTGAAACGATTTCTAGTGGTACATCGAAGTTACCTCATAATATAAGAACTCTCTTTTTTATCAATGGTTTTTTTTAAAAAAAAAATTAATTCCTTTTCTCCTAAGAATTATTAGGATTTTTGATCAATTTTTTTTTTATTATTTTGTTTGTATCAAGTACATGAATTTTTGGGGATAGATGTTTCATCATTTTCATCATGATTATGTAAAAAAAAAAATATTTATTTATTTTGATCTGCATACATAATATACATAATTTATGATTAAAGTTTTGGAATCTATCTTTATATCTTCATTGAAATAGAGTTTGAAGCCTAGATCATGATATTTTTTTGGACGACAAAAACTTTGATACAACATTATGCATTCTTGGTAGTATTTTTTTACAATTATCCATTATCGCTCAAAAAAGAAGTTTATTAAATTGCACGAATTAAGAATGACAGCAGATTTAAAATACTTTGATCTATTTTTATATATGAGACCTTTTGTTATAGAAAGGGGGGAACTGCCAAAATTACCTTTCATATCTAAATATGTATGTTATTCAGATCGGATTTAGCATTAACTCATTTTTTTTGGTTTTTCCGGCAGTTCCCCTTTTCATAGCAAAGGTTAGATATATTTTATATAAAAATATAAATATGTATATATATATGTATATGTATGTATACATTTTTTTATTTTTTTTTTCTACAAAAGGAAATTTTAAAGGTACTTTTATAGAAATGATTAATTAAATGTAGCGTGTGTAACGTGTTTAATGCATTCTTTTTTTTTGATGCGCGATGCGCCCTGCGCGTTTTTTTTTTTTTTACTATGGTGTGGGTAAAATAACATGTTATTTTGATATGAATTTCCAATTTTTTACCTGTATATTGGTAAGTAGAGGAAGAAATCTGTAAATCCTGGAATTAAAAATAGTGTACTTAAATGAAAATGTCAATCCAGTTTTTTTGTTTTTTAAAAAAAAAATTCTTGGATTACAGGAGAGCTAAAACCGAGTTCCTAAAGTTATAACGTGAACTTTAAAGGTCCGTTTTCGTTATGAATAAGGAATCTGAGTTGTTTTTATTTTTTTTTTGGCAATCATGATGAGAATAGAAAGATACAGATCTACTCCCGTCCATGATTTTTAAAAAATGGATGGTTGCTACCGTTACATCACGGAATTAGGAAGCGCTGACTACCAGTCGATTTAATTGAAAGTAGGAGGATTTAGTTGCAAATGATACTGATTCTCGTATGTCGCTCGAACTGGGATCAAAAATCCTGATTTTACATCTTTTTATCATGCAAGAATTGGATAAAAAGTAATAATTCATCTTCCTTTTTGATCACATTGTAATAATTTAATCGATTTAAAGAAGAATATTGAAAGGACATTGTTTATTTCTGCATCATCGGACAATCACATGACAGATGACCGTCAAGAAAGTACAATATTTAATGCAAAAAAGTGGTGCAGATAATTGAATTATTGACCCTGTTTAACGAACTTGGTCAATTTACCTAATGTGTAGTAAAAATTGGTGCGTTCAAAAATGACGATCCATGTGTTCGTTTCTTGATCGAAAGAATGCGTTGAGAACGAAAACGCGTGGCGCAGCACGATTTGATGATGGAAGTTTTCATTAATCCAGCGAATTTTTTTTACTAAAGGATCTTTCTAATAAACGCGTTTTTTCCTTCATTTGAAAGTTGTATCACGTAGAATTCTTTGTTCGAAATTGGTGCATGTTTCAGAAAAGAATTAATTATGATTTAACACATCAAAATTAATATTATTAAAAATTAAAAACATTTGAATAAATTTATTATAGACTTATTGACTTTCCTAAATATAATAACATAATTCCCCGAATCATTTTCTTAAAAAAAATGTTGATTTCGGGTTGCCACAATATTAAAATATATAAATATATGAATATCAACAATAATAAAAAAAAATGTTGCACAACTCCACCACGTTTCCCTAAAATGTTAAAATAAGTTCAACTTTATTAACAATTATAAAGAAAATTAAATTTCCCAGTTAAATTAAATTTAATATCCTTTAGGTCAATAACTGACGAAGATCATCCTCTTCATCATAGTCTTCAAATTCGATCAAATCTTGTCCAATAAAGGCCAATACATGATCATGACAACATCGAAATTCACTTAATACGTCTGTGGTCGTTTCTACTGGCAATGACACCATTTTAGCTTGCGCTATCAATTGTCTACTTGATATGATTGAACGTTTCTGTTTATGATCATTATGAGAAATGAATTCTTTATCGTGACTTTTGATTCCGATCTGCGATGTTAATCTTGATAAAGAAATTCCATTCGATTGTGGCCTATTTTTAATAGTTCCATGTACTTTGGTTGCACTCTGGGTATCAAAGTGTTGAGCCGATACAACAGAAACATCAGTTATAACGGGTTCGCTTTCTTCTTTTTTGTGTCTTTTGGTTATGTGATTTGGTGATGACGAAATAGTTGTAACATCCTGCACGTTATCAGATTCCAAGAGATACTTTAGTCCTTTGGCATTGCTTGAAGTTTTAGGTAAACTCTTGGATAAGTTTACCACCAAAGAAATTTTCTTATCGTATTCGTTTTTATTTCTAACATGTGCCCAAACAGACGTGGCAATGAAGCCACTTGCGACAAGGGCAGCGGTAATTTCGATATTTGCCAGAGGTGATCTAAAGTTTCTATAAAAAACGAATTTAGCTATGTAAGTTATTCTCCCAATGAAAATTAAAAAGGCAATCATTATTTAACCGCTTATGAATATAAAGTGTTATTTGTAAAAAAAAAAATAAAGAATTTATCTTATTTACCTATATATTAAAAAGTGGAGCCTTAGAGCTTGGTGTGTGAAAGAAAGGGGATTTGAAGGGAGGAGTTGATATGTGTGACTTCTGTTTAAACAATAATATACTATTATAGCCAACACAACGCTAAAAGTTGAGAATGACACGACCGAAAGTATGTAAATGTTATAAAGGTCGTGTAAATTGTAAAATTTTAAAAAATCGCGTAAAGTCATAACGAGAAACGAGGGAATGCCTCACTGCGGCTTGGAATACATGGATTTAAATAAATCCTCTCACGAATTCCAGATTAACCAAATCCGGTTAATATTTAATTAAAAACCTCCGGTATAGTGTATATAAATATATTTACTTTGTCAATGAGATTTTCAAAATATTATTTTCTTTCTTTATATTAAAATAAATCCAATGGTTTCATCATATTCAATTCCTTTTCACATATATTTTAATATTTTTATATTCATATAATATATTAATATATAAAATTTCAAACTTTTTTTTTTATATATTAAATTTAGATTTAATTTTATGCAAAAGTCCAAAACTTATAATAAAAATTTAATTCAAAATTATAGTAATATAAAACTTTTTTTAATCATACTGTCATTAACAAATCTAATTTTTACAAATTATTGTTATTTTAAAATTTTTAAAATTTGTAAATTTTTTAACATAATTTGTATCCTCTTAAATTTCTGCTACTTAATATGGGTCATGGACTAGCAAAATATATCTCCGAGACCCCCCTGTCAAAAATTTTTTTTTTTGCTCCAATATAAACTTAACATGCTTAACTATATAAGATTTAATTTTTAAATCATGTAAGCTTAATAA